GCACTTTAAATAGCTGTTGTAGGCGGCAGAGTGGCTCAGGTCAGGGCTGAGGTCAGTGAGGCCGACCTCCAGATTTGTCCAACTGCTGTTTGTGCTCGCCGGAACCAAGGTGGGTTAGATCCTCTCCACGAGCTGATCCTCGTCCTCCAGCACTTCCAGGGGTTTCAATCTCTCCTCCTGGGGAGGCGGACGGGTGGGTGTTCTGGGCACGTCTCGTGGCACAGCCAGCTTGTATGGTATGGTCTCGTTAAACCTCCATATAGTGTGGTTCTGGATCAGTAGCAACCGTGATAGGATGTACAGATCCTGCGGCCGAACGTCAGTGGGTACCCGAAGACTCTCCTGCCAATCACTTCACAGGCGAACTCTGAGACCGACCGGCAGTCGACAAGCTGGCTGAAAGGAAGAACCGGGCCTTTTGAGGGACTGGCCGGGCAGGGGGCGTCCCGCTGGTGCAGGTCACACGGGAAGATCCTCACCATCTGATCCCCAACGATCTGATGGCCCATCGTCCGGCTATTGGTCAGCGGTAATAGGCGGAGGACTCTGGCCTTCTGGACCTCGTCCTTGGTCCAGGTCTTGAGAGGAGGAGACTCCCCGACGCTGGCGCTGCCTATGGGCCCGAGGCAGAGGAAACCCCACACGCCCTTTAGGCCGCCACGTTAGGGAACGGGTCCGCGGACGGCCTAAAAGACAGCCCGTGGTAGGAGGTAAGCGGAGCCGCGCTCGCCGCCTCCTAGGCGATTTTTCAGGGCCCCGGTGATGGCGGCCGGGGGGCGGGGCGTCGCAAGCCGGGCCTCGGCGACAGGGGGGCGACCCAACCGATACGGGCAGTCGTTTCAGCACGTGCCGAACAGGTTGCAGGCGGGCGACCCCCTGACCGCCTTTTCGCGAAATTCCCTGACCTCGCCCACGGAGCGCCCGTCCATCGACAGCCTATTCGTCCCCCTGACTGCCTATGCGACCACGAACCGCCTATTCGTCCGCCGCCAATCTAGGTGACGGCCCCGCCCACTGACCACGAACTGCCTATTCGTCCCCTGACCGCTTATGTGACCACGAACAGGCTATTCGTCCCCCTGACCACCTATGTGACCATGAACCACCTATTCATCCCCCTGACCGCCTATGTGACCGCCATGTGGACGGCCTACACGTCCACAGCCAATCTAGGTGACAGCCCGGGGCCCCGACCACTGACCACGAACTGCCTATTCGTCCCCCTGATAACCTATGAGACCACGTCCCGTCAAATAAGTTACAGGTGGAATGCTGATTTACATTTTGAAGCAGGGGTGGGCAAACTTTTTGGCTCAAGGGCCACACTGGGTTTTAAAATTTGACAGAGGGCCGGCCCAGTGGCAGATTATACCAGCAAACACATTTACGTGGATCACGTAATTTATGTGGTATATTAATTTATATGCTATAGATATCCCCATTTAGCATTGTTATATTTTAGGGTTATTTTTTTGTTTAATTTTAGATTTATTTTAATTTTATTTTACAGTAAATTAACAGTAAATTAGAAACAAAACAAGTGTACACTTGTAAAATTGGAGAAGGTTACATTAATTCAACTTTATTAAAACTCCATATGGTAATCAAAATGCACTCAATACACAAACGTCACACATTTGTGAAAAAATAAAATAAAAATAAACAAATTTACCAATTTATTTTAAGTATGATAAATAAAACGTAAAAATCAAAAGCAGATAGAAACATTTATTGAACAAAACCGGTTTCTGTACATGGCAGAGACAGGAGCGTAGTCGAAAGCCGGGCGATAAAGGTCGGTAACCGGAAGCAGTCCAAGAGACAAATACAGAGGAGCAAAGAAACTAAATATCAAATGACAAACTATAAAATCAAATGAAAAATAATCAGGCGTACAAGTGGTTACTAACATTTTTTTTCTCTGTGAGTTTCCAGAAAAGGAAAAAACATTAACGTGCAACAAGGAGCCTTATTGCGCTTAAGTCGCTGTCTGAAGGAGTGCTGAAATGTCAATGATTCAATTGTGCCAACGTTCTGTTTCCTGGGATATTAGTTATAAATTGCATATGACAAATTACAAAAAACGGTCTGACTCTGCAGCGTGAGCTTTGCAATGCAACCGTTATTTATTCACTGTATGGTTTCCATGGTGACGCGTCATTGCTTGTCACGTGACACCGCAGCACAGCCACAACTGCTCTGAATGAATGATGATCTGCTTTATTCAAGTATTGCAGGAAAAAGGCAAAATGAATGAGTAACAGGGATGTTGGTTCGGTGAATGGGTGATGGAAGGAGACACAGGGTTGGCGAATACTGGGGCTCGTGCAGTTTATTGAGTTACTTTCTCTCCCCACAGCGCTTGCTCGCGCTCACACAATTAATTCAGAATATTTCAAAAAATAAATCACATATAAAGCAGTACTCTTCCCACTGGATACAGCTTCTCAGGTCACAAATGCAGCAACACTCTTTCCACTGAATGGCCCAGTGTTTTCTCTCTCTCGACAGCGCGTGCACGAGCTCCCAGTCTCTCTCTCTCCCCACTCTGTCAGCACGGCCCACTCACCGCTCGGCTCCGCCCTCGCTCTCCCGCTACAGACCTCTCTGAACCACACCCCCCTCGCCACCGAATGCAATCTTTAAGACAATATTTTAAATACTCGACGGGCCGTACTTTGCCCACCCCTGTTTTGAAGTCATGACTGATAAAAATGCATAAAACATCATCCCACCTGCAACTTATTTGACGGGACCTCTTTAGGCTGTTTGTGGTCAATTCATTTTTAGGTCATTTCATGATTGTTAATGTTTTATCGCTTAAAACATGCAGTACAGTGCACATGGAAGACAATCAGACATGTTGGAGTACGTTACAGTTCATAATTATGCATAACATTTCTTAAAATGACATGTCCACGGACAGCTTACAGGGACCCTGTCAAATAAGTTGCAGTTGGGCACAAGAGAGTCCCAATGGGACTACATATTGTGCCCATCTGCAACTTATTTGACAGGGTCCCTGTAGGCTGTCTGTGGACAGTCCATTTTTAGGCTAATAACACACAATTAATGGCTGTACTGTACATCAGTGTGTTGTATTGCGACGCCTGTGTGCAGTGGACACCATTTAAGCACTGTGTTTATGAAATATGACCTTTTAATGTTTTGTCCACAAACAGCCTATAGGGACCCTGTCAAATAGGCTATAGTTGGTATGTTCTGGTGAAATAGATGAGATAGTCAAAACCATAGTTTGAACAATTTTTTATTTATTTAAACATTTATAAAATTACATGATTAGATTATATGAACAGAACACATGAAAGTACAGTAAAAATAAAGTGAATGAACAGAAGACAGCAGAATATATTTTAAAATACAATGATAACAATCTAAAAAATGTGGAATAAATATAAAACTACAACATTAAACATTTCAACTATATACAGTAATTAATGAACATATTTACAGGTTTAGCAATTGACTGAAGTCGATTGTTGACAGGTCTGTTTCCCCTTGGCAAATGAAAAAAAAGGAAAGGGGAAACAAAGAACAACAATTCATTAAAAAAAAAATAGTAACACAACAACAAAACTTGGTTTCGTGTACGTAAACTTATCACCTATTGCTTAGGCTACCTTGTGGACCCGAAGAAACTTGAACTTCATACTTGGCAATTTGATTGAACAAATCATCTAAGAACAAGAAAAAAAAAAATTAATGTCTTCTTCATGAAAAAAATAAGCAACAGAGTACAAGTTTAAACAATTGTTCACCTGATACCTACCAAGTTCTTGCACTTCCTCTTGGGGCTCACTTGGCATTAGTAGCTCTATAATGAAAAAAAGACATTAATGTATTGTTCTTGTATAAACAATATAGCATAAATTACATGTTGATCACTTACCCAGGAAGCTAGGAGCTGTCTCCATTTCAAAATCTTCTACAATAAACACACACAAGACTCAATAGTTTGTTCAACATCTTGTAAAAAATGTCATATTTCCATTGCAAAGAAAATCATTCAAAACCTATCCAGCAGTTGAAGACATTCAGATGGAACAGCCACAGGGCTCTGAACACCTGTGTGAACAGGGCTCTGCGGCTGCTCTCCTCCTTCAGACAGTCCCTCCAGGATTTCGCGGGCCTTTTTCGTGATTGTTGCGGCCTAAAATTCCTGATGTTGCGGACGCTTTTCTAAAAAGTTGCAATGAAAGTTGCCATGTTCTTTGGCATTTGTTTTTAAAGGTTAAAACGGCAAAGGTAGATATTATGCTTTTTCCCTTTCCTTTTATTGTTATATATCTTTTTCGTGCATGTTATAGGTTTACAAAGTGAAAAAGCCCAAAGTCCACCCCAAAGGGACTTACCATGTCCCACAGAAAACAGTTCACCATCTGCTCTATTGTGTGTCCAGATTAACATCTAGGTGCAGTTCATGCACAATTAAAATCATTAAAATTAAAAAAAAAGATATTGATCTAATGAGAAAAAAAAACAATAACTAACCTTTAGTAACCTTATAAAAAGGCAAAAGAGCAAGAGAATTAAGCTTTATTTTTTTAAACACCTGCAAAAATGTAAATGTGCAGAACCTCACAAACATTAAGCAGCATTTATGTTTAAAGATGCATCATAATAAATCCCTCTACTCCTGACAGTACAGAAAACCTCTCAAAACAAGAAACTAAATCATTTATTTTTATTTCACTTTTGTATCTCCGTGTCCCATGCCTCACACACATCAACTGATTTTAGTACACATTATAAATGATAGTTGAGGAATTCAAAGTCGTGCACTTCTCACTCTCTCATTCTCTCTCTCTCTCTCTCTCTCACACACACACACACTTCGCCCGCGCGCCTCACTTTCACTCACTCACACACACACACACACACACACGTGTATATTACTAACAAGGGACTATCACTCTACACTGTCCAAGAGAGTCTCGCTCTCACTCACACGTGCCCACATCTTTGTCTCTCACACACTCGTTCACACACACACACACACACACATTCTGACGGAGGCCCCCTAATGGGGCCCACAAGTTTTTTTATGCGTTGTGGGATCCACCCTTTGCAGTGGTCCTACACTGCTGTAAAAAATAACATTAGATCTAAAAAAAAATCTAAATCATTAATATCACTTCAATTTGACAAATTTCTAAAGTTTTGTCCAAAAAGGTATTTGGCCCCTTGTGGGCCCCGTTTCTAGGATTGCCGACTTGTGGGGTCTGCCCACATACACACATACATACCAAGTTTTTATATGTTAATGGGGCCCAAGGTCACTATCTGCAGCTGCTGACACCAGCCTTTATTATTACTCCCAGTTTCCTTATTTTGGACTAAAATAGTTTTGTAATGAGTAATTATAATAATTAAAATGAGTAATTATAGTAATTATGTATATATGTGAAACTTTCCATCTGCCTTTACAGATAACAAGACATACGACTTTAAAGACAGTTTTATGACAACTGAAATGACCAGTTTTATTTTAATGACAGTTTATGCCACACAGTTGTCAGTCCAACTTTTTATGAAATGATTAAAACAAATTTTAGTTTTTAAACAACAAACAAATTACATTTTAGAAAGTTTTAACAAATTTTGAAATCATGATGCACAGATATTTAAAGAAATGAAAAATCCTTGAAATGTGAAATATTTAACATATTCCCAACACACTTTCAGTGTTCAGGCCCTAAAATAAATAAAAAAAAGATATTAAAATAAACAAGAATAAATCAATATCCATCCAACATCCATCCATATATCCAACATCTACCCTTTATTCATCCATCCAACATCTACCCTACATCCATCCTTCCAACATCTATCCTACATCCATCCTTCCAACATCTACCCTACATCCATCCTTCCAACATCTACCCTACATCCATCCTTCCAACATCTACCTTACATCCATCCTTCCAACATCTATCCTACATCCATCCTTCCAACATCTACCCTACATCCATCCTTCCAACATCTACCCTACATCCATCCTTCCAACATCTACCCTACATCCATCCTTCCAACATCTACCCTACATCCATCCTTCCAACATCTATCCTACATCCATCCAACATTCATTACCTCAGTTCCAGTGCTTTTCACAGTAGACTTTTCTTCTCAGGGCTGTAATGTGATTTTTAACATATATTTAACTGCTTTCCAGTCTCTATTTCTGAGAGCTTGAGGTTCTGCAGTAATGCAGCGCTGACATTCTTCTTTTCCAGGAACTTGATTCATTGATTCTTGATTCAAGCCCCAAAAATTCATCCATCCATCTAATATCCACCCTACATCCATCCAACATTCATCCATCCAACATCTACCCTACATCCATCCAACATTCATCCATCCAACATCTACCCTACATCCATCCAACATTCATCCATCCAACATCTATCCTACATCCATCCAACATTCATCCATCCAACATCTACTCTACATCCATCCAACATTCATCCAGGCATCATCTATCCTACATCCAGCCATCATCTACTCTACATCCATCCAACATTCATCCAGGCATCATCTATCCTACATCCACCCATCTCTCAAAAATCCATCCAACATCCATCCATCCATCTATTCAAAAATAAAATTAAATAAGTGCTGTGAAGAACTGTGAAATGTGTTTAAAAAAAATGAAAATTTGAAGGCCACTGGACACCCATAAAACCTGAGCAAACCCCTACAACAAGGTTACAACAGAACACAACCAAAGACTAAAATTTTAAGATCCTACCTCAAATCTTTTGGTTTTACCTCAGTTCCAGTGCTTTTCACACTAGACTTTTCTTCTCAGGGCTGTAATGCGATTTTTTACATAATATTTAACTGCTTTCCAGTCTCTATTTCTGAGAGCTTGAGGTTCTGCAGTAATGCAGCGCTGACATTCTTCTTTCCCAGGAACTTGATTCATTACAATAAATCTCCTCAAATGTGTGTCCACGGCAGCACACTCGTCTGGGGTCCAGCTTCTTTTGACGGCCGTTTGTTTTCCTATGTAGGCAAAAACACAAAACATTGTAGGTTTTCTTTTATAAATAAATTTTTATCTTACTTAACCCTGTAAGACCCACTGTTTCAGAATTACATCAATTGTGGTTATTCCCCAAAACCCCCTTTGTCTTTTTTAATTGTTTGTTTTCCACATCAATATGATCTGTGGGTCCTACATTTTATTCCCACCACGTAATTGAATCCAGGATTTGTGTACAAAGCCCACCCTTAAGTCAAGAAATGACACATCCAACAACTTTCTGATCAAGCAACATGCCTTTGAATTACTGGACTGGATTCATCTTCAAGTAAGTAAAATGCTTGGAATATGTTTTTCTGTGTTTATTACAGTGTCTAGAGCAAGGACATTTACAGTAAATGTTGAAAATATGCCCTACATTTTGTACATTTTTGAGCTTGTTTTATAAATAATTTTACAATTTTACAATAATTTATAAGAAATTACAATGTTGGATGAGAGTGACAGTCGTAATTGCCCTGTATTTAAAGGAGTCATAACCTGCAATTTTCACTTTTCCACGAGAATCAATGTATGTTAAGATTGCCTAACAATTATACATTGCAAATTGACAACGAAACCTAACAAAGAAATTAAGAAATTCTGTTTGTACAAAATGTTCTCATCAATTTATAGTCAAAGTGCTTATTATCATTAGGCCAATAACCTTTATTTAACCAGGTCTGACCCATTGAGACCCAAGATGTCCTCTTATGTAAGAGACACCTGGCCAATCCTCCAAGCGGTGCTTTGTTCTGACACAGGTGTAAATGTTCATCACTGTTAGATTTTGTTGTAAACTGGACGGTGAATGCATTCCTGTAAGGATTACAATCACAGTCTACTATAGGTGAGCCATTAGGTATAATGTGACCGGTGAGATGTGTGAATAGGCTGCTTCAGTCCAAAGTGTGAACACGTCATAATGAGGCATGTGTGCTATTTGTATATACAAATGTACATTTGTTTCAATTTTATCTATTTCTTTTCAGAATGCCACCAGCAAAGGAGAAATCCTCGGTACAATGTGCACAATGTAATCCAAAAGTTTGTGTCAGAAGATTTGGTTCAAGCTCTGGCAACAAATACGAATGAGTACAGCTTTCAAAATGACGAAAGATCAGTCAACACTAATACAAAAGAAATACAGGCAGCATTGGGCATGTACCTGAGGATGGAACATTACATTTTGTAAACAATTTAACCTTGCCAGAGACTGACAAGAGGGACAAACTCTGGAAACTCAGACCACAGCTTGATTCAAAACTGCCTGCAGATGGTACCAGAAAAGCACATTCCATGGACAAGATGATGATCCCCTTCAACAGGAAGTTCAGCGGCATCAAGAAGTATATGCAAGGTAATCTACGCTCATGGGGCTTTGAAGTATGGGTGAAAGCTGAAATCTCTAGCATGATGCTTGACTTTGATGTTTACCAAGGGAGCAACAATGAAGTACGAGTCAAATCTAAACTTGGATTGTCAGGTGGTGTTGTAATGAAGCTTGCCTCCACATTTCCAAAGGGTCAACACAACAAGATCTAGGCAGACAACCACTTCACCTCCATTCCACTGGTAGTGAAGCTCCTTGAGGAAGGAATGCATTATGTGTGAACAGCCAGGCAAATGCATCTACCGAACAGTAATCTTTACATGCGAAGAGCTTGAAGAAGAAGGGCAGAGGAAGCTTTGACCACAGAGTGGTGGGGAAACAACATCTGTGCTGTCAAATGGTACGACAACAGGGCGGTGACACTTGTGTCATCCTTCGCTGGACCAGGACCTGTTCAGGAGATTCAAGACTGGGACAAAGCCGCCAAAACCTACATTGACGTTAGAAAGGCTTCCATTGTGGGCATCTACAATAAATACATGGGAGGTGTGGATCTGTTGGACTCATTTACAGCAAATCACAAGTATGCACTGAAATCCTGGTGGTGGTACATGTGCATCTTCTGGCACACAATGACCCTTACTGTGGTCAACGCCTGGCTCCTCTACAAGCAGCACAGCCTATGCTCTCAGGATGCCAAAGAAGGAGATACTGAACATGAGAAAGTTCCAAGCACAGCTGGCTTCCTCTCTCATTGCGGTAATGATCTATTTGTGCTATTTACCTTGTTCGTGAAAAATCAGACTGGTATTTCAGATGTACATAAATTGAGACATTTGTTCTTTAGATTCTAATCTGGTGGACAGAACACTGAAAACGCCAAAGAGAGGACGGCCATTTTCAGCCAACAAGAGCCCAGAGACAGGAGCCCTCTGAATGGTGGAAAGAGACCACACATGGATGATGGAAGTCCAAAGGCTCCCTCTTCTAAAAAGTCACGCAAACCACCGCCCATGGACGTGCGCATGGACCAAACTGGACATTTCCCCCTGAAGACAAAGAGAGGGCTCTGCAGATGTTGCAGTAAAGGGTACACCAATACCCAAAGCAGCAAGTGTGATGTCCGCCTCTGTTTTTCAGAGGACAGGAACCGTTTCTGGGATTACCACTATAGAGAAGAGAGAACACTGCAGACGTTGCACTGTTAACAATGTAAATAAATAAAGTTCTTATTTGTTGGAATAAACAACTCTTCATAATAACATGACTGAGATTATTATTCATTTTATACACTGGTTTGAGACTTGGATGAAGGAACACTAGCAGTTAGGAGGTATTTAAGGTGATGGGAGGTTGTTGGAGTTTTTCAACTGGTCACTGTACACCTCTGTCGTTGGAGGAAATACAAGCATTTTTCCTGAATAACTCCATAAAGTGTTAAAGATTTTTTTTTTATTTAATAGAACAGACTTCTTATTGATATAAAGGTGATAATGGCAGTCTTTCCCCAACCCTGGCACCGGACAGTAAGGAGGGACAGACATATTTAAAGTGTTGAGTCAAGGAAGCAAAGTAAAAGACCTTAAAAAATAAATGAGCAACTCTGGCCCAAAAGAGAGAGCAAGCCGCAAAGCTTACCTCTCTTTTTTGCAGACACACTCCGGTTTTGGACTTGTGATGTGGAGGGACATTCTTGCAGGGATGACACGCTGACCTCATCTTCTGACCCCTCTTCTCTTGGCATACTGACATCTGGACAAAGAAATAACTTTATTGTAGTATACACAACATGAAATACGTAATAGCCGTCAGTACAGTGGTTGTGTTATTTTATAAAATAATTCAGTTTATTTATATAGCCCCGATTCACAACAGATGTCGTCTCGAGGCACTTAACAAGAAGTCAGTATATGGGATTTGTGTCCCTTACAGAGACACTGTTTATTTCATCCCATCTCCTATCGTCCTAAATTCTTCTCAAGTGACTAGTGACGTGAAAATATTAGTTTTCATGTTAGCCCAGGGATGAGCAACTCCAGTCCTCAAGGGCCACTATTCTGCAGGTCTGAGATGTTTCCCTGCTTCAACACACCTGATTCAAATTAAATAGATCAAACAGCTTGTTGCCAAGCTCTGCAAAATGAATCAGGTGTGTTGCAGCAGGGAAACATAAAAGGACCTAAAGGATAGTGGCCCTCAAGCAGTACATTTCCTCATATAGTATACGGACGACAGACCGTTCCCACGCAGTCCACTAGTGCTGAAGTAGCTGCGCGCTGTAAAGATTGTATGTTGGACAATATAAGATGAACTGATTTCATCAGACAGAGAGCGACTGTAGTTACCATCACAAGTAGCATTAACGTTTAGGTTAGTGTGCCCTCACCTACTGTTTATAGGTTGCTCCAATCTCACGGCGCAGACTTCACGCAGGGATTGCACGGCTACTCAAACATTTGTCCTCCTCAACTGTGTACGAGTAAACGGTTACAGCGAGTCGAGTACGAGTACGCAGATGAGGAGGTAACATGTCAAGACGACACGGCTGTACGAGTTTATTTGATGTCATCTAACCCGATGGCATGTGCGTTTGAGCCAGTGATGAGGAGGAGAGTTGAGAGACCCGTTTTTTGCGGAAGTTGAGGGAGCTGCAGTGGCTCCGGAGGAGAGGGTCGGCAATCCTTTGCAGTGCAAGTGCAGTCACTGCGATCAACCGTGGAGTCTGTTTGCTGCCATGAACCAGACTTGGATAATGTGCTCAGGGAATTGTCCTGCATCACCTTATCGAGCTCATTCCAGATGTTCTGTAGTGACAGGGATGTGTTGGAGTAGCTGTGCTATCCCTGTATGAAGTCCGTGCCGAGAGATTAGAGCAACCTATAAGCAATAGGTGGGTTCACGCTAACCACAAAATGAATGCTACTTGTAATTTCAGGCAGTACTGAAGCAGTGTTCAGTTTTAAAACTGGGGTTGTGTTTGACTGATTGTGCAGCCTCTGCATCAGACAGGTCTCCTGACAGAGTTGCAGGAGAAAGAGGTGGGTAGGACAAAGAAGGGAGATGGAGTTGTTGATGTTCAATTTTTTGCCAAGTGCCGTGTGAAATGCACGAAAGGAAAGGTAAGAATTGCGTTCAAGCTCACCGGTTGAAGACACTCTCTGGTTTTGACTTTGTGATGTGGAGGTACATTCTTGCGTGGATGATATGAGCTCATCGTCTGACCCATCATCTCTTAGCATACCGACATCTGGAGAGGGAAATAACTCATGAATACACAAAATATCTAAAACGGATCATTTAGAATCAATTTAGGAACATCGTATACACATACCTTCAATATCCTCAGCTAAAGGTCCCTCCATGTCAATGGTCTCTAAAATGATAATTGATAAAAAATTGAGATTGGAAAGCTGAAACTATGGGCAATCTGCAAGAGTATACAACAGTAGTATTATCTCTCATCCCGTCACTATTACTGCCCTATGCTTTACATTGCAAATAGTTGTTTTCTGAATGCGGAAGACTAAATGTCATATATTGTGCCTTCAGGAATATAAAGTTAATTACCATTCACATCGACTTGTATTTCATCGAGGCTCTTTCCTTTGTAATCTCCTAGGCGTCCTTGTTCCATTGCGAGGAGGACTTTACTCACTTTGGCTAATTGAAGGGTGCTTTCTGGGAGCCTGTAGTGTTTCCTGTGAACAGCGATATTATGACCGAGGAAGTCTGCCAACTGGTCGAGCTCGGTGGTTTTGAGGTTCAAAACAGTAGACAGGGTAGCAATATGTTTCCTCAGTTGAATTGATTTTAGCGCTTGAGGATTTTTTATGTCACCGCATTCACTGACAAATTGCCTCATGCAGTCACAAGCCCTGAGGTAATGGGCAGATTGTGGCAATGCAAACAGATATTCATTGTCCTTCAGCACCCCACATACTTCTCTGCACTCAGTAAGAGCATCAAGTGATTCTCTCATTAATGGGGTTAGAAGAACTGGAACCTTCCTTCCTCTTTTTCCAACAATTGCTATTCGCACGAAATGCCTGCAGAGCTTCTGCTCAAGCGGTGTGAGGGCCAAATTTACATCTCCCTGTTCCTCTGATGTGTCTTTCGATAAGTATGCAGACAGGTGCATTCGGGACACTTCACCTGCTCTCCGCCGATTAAAAAGCATAACTTGAGTCAACGTTACTTTTGCAAGTTCCTTCCAATTTGTGGATGAACGATGTTCTTTTAAATCTTTGAGATGTTGCTGCTGTTTTTCTTCTAGATAGCAATGTAGCTTTTGGATATCTTGTGTAAGAGGTAAAAGTTGCGGTGCATTCCATTTGGCCCGGTTAAGCTGGGTTAATGCCTGGCCTGCAATATCAAACCTCCAACTCTCTAAATACAACTGTGCGAACTCCTCAGCATCTTTAATGGTTTCCTTATCTCTCTTTTTCAGTCCTTCGGACTTGATAAACATAGCCAACGAATGCAGGCTGTGTCCTACCTTGCGTGCAAGAGATGGACATTGGTATATCCCAGTTTCCTCACTGAATCCAGATAGGTTCTTTGCAGCTCTGACAACCTGTGAGTACTGTTCAGGTTTGATGAGTTCTTGAATGGTCCTCACACGTGTGATTTTTTTAGCTTCCAATAAAAGCCTGCCAAGTTCTCGCAGTTTTTGGCGTATATACTGGTGTTGACTGACTATCTTCTCATTCTTTTTGAACAACCTGAACCCATAATTGAGGATGCAGTTGTCTCCTTTAATTGCAACTGTGATCTCGTCCTGAATCATTACACTCAAGAACTTCCAATACGCATCTGTATATTCTGATGGAGAAGGTTCAGCGAAAGCACATAATGCCTGAACTCTATTTTTACCAGGTTTAGCATTTTTGGGTTTGAAGCTGCAGACCTTGAAATGCCGCCACATCGCTCTTCTTGAGAACAGCCCATAGCAATGAATGCAATGTGCAAATTTATGTCCGTCTGACTTTTTTACTGGTTGTTTACATGGGATTAGTTTTCCTTTTTTTTTTTCCAAAACATGACTGTTGTGCTCGAAGTTTCCCTTATTTCGTATGTAGTCCAATTGTAGTTTTCTTTCCTTTGAGTTTTTTGGTAAACTGAATGCTTTCGCAACATCCGATTCATCTTGGTGTTTACGCCATAAGTGTCTTGACATTTTCTGGACAAACTTCTTGCAATAAAAGCAGAAATGTTTCTTGTTATAGCTTCTGGATCCGTCATCTTTCTTTAAAGTTGGACTGACAATCATGTACTGCTCTTCTTCCAGGGGCACTGAAACACTGTTTTCAGAAAATGTTGCGATTTCCTTTTCATTCCCATCAACTCTGCTATTTGGAAATCTTTGTGTGGGATCATGACATCTTTCCAAAAGTCTTCTCTGGCTAAAGTCAAATTGGCTATGACTAGAGGACTCGCTTCCACTCTCTCGGGAGGATCTACTTCCACTCTCCATGGACTTAGACTTGCTCTGTCTGGAGGACTCGCTTCCACTCTTTCGTAAGGATCTACTTCCACTTTCCCCGGGCTTAGACTTGCTCTGTCTGGAGGACTCGCTTCCACTCTTTCGTGAGGATCTACTTCCACTTTCCCCGGGCTTAGACTTGCTCTGTCTGGAGGACTCGCTTCCACTCTCTCGGGAGGATCTACTTCCACTCTCCATGGACTTAGACTTGCTCTGTCTGGAGGACTCGCTTCCACTCTTTCGTGAGGATCTACTTCCACTCTCCATGGACTTAGACTTGCTCTGTCTGGAGGACTCGCTTCCACTCTCTCGGGAGGATCTACTTCCACTCTCCATGGACTTAGACATGCTCTGTCTGGAGGACTCGCTTCCACTCTCTCGGGAGGATCTACTTCCACTCTCCATGGACTTAGACATGCTCTGTCTGGAGGACTCGCTTCCACTCTCTCGGGCGGATCTACTTCCACTCTCCATGGACTTAGACTTGCTCTGTCTGGAGGACTCGCTTCCACTCTCTCGGGAGGATCTACTTCTTTCTCTGGGCTTAAACTTGCTCTTACCGGATGATGCACCTTTCTTCTTTTTTTCCTTTTCCAGGGTTAATTCCATACTGCTATCACTTTCTGTGCTTTCATCCCTGGGATTTGGAATATACTCCTCTTCGCTACCTAAGTTTGAGTCATCTGATTCCACGAGATTCATCTGAATCTTTAAAAACAAACACAAATCTGTTAATACCTATTTTTTCAAAATTACATATAAAAACCTGAGTATACTGATTGAACAGGGTCAGGATACTAAATGAAGAAAAATCTGTATGGACCATTTTCAATACAAGTACATTTTTAAATTAGAAGAATCCCCATTAGACTCACTAGCAAGAGCAACTGCCCAGCCCAGCCCAAACCCAGCCCTAGAACCAGCCCTAGCCCCAGACCAGCCCTAGACCAGCCCTAGCCCCAGCCCAGCCCAGCCCTAGACCAGCCCTAGCCCCAGCCCTAGACCAGCCCTAGACCAGCCCTAGACCAGCCCAGCCCTAGCTCCAGCCCTAGACCAGCCCCAGTCCTAGCTCCAGCCCTAGACCAGCCCTAGCCCCATCCCTAGCCCCAGCCCTAGCCCCAGCCCTAGCCCCAGCCCTAGACCAGCCCCAGCCAAAAAAAAAAAAAAAAAGACTTACGGGACGGCAAGACCTTCTTCTCAGCTTCTGTGAAACCCTTTCAGGATTAAAAAAAGGAGTCTCCTCTGCACTGTCACTACTTGAATCATGGAGACCGTGTGTAAAATCTTGTACTCTATCCATCTGCAAAAAGGGAGACATGGAGATGTTTTGTTGTATGATTGCTGTATTTTTAATTGATAGGGAGACCATTCAGGGGTTGTCAGGTGAGCTAGACACCTATAAAAATTATTGACCAATATTACCCCTCCATCAACCTGCTGAGGCCCATGTCCAAACTGCCTTCCAGGTGAAGTAAACGTTGACAAAAATATATATATATATAAAAAAAAGAGTAACATTTCAGTTTTCATCCATTTAATTGTTAAAATTAATGACTTCACAAGAATGATTCATCATAATAATATAGTGTCATTCCTGTAGACATGGAACTACTCCAGAGAGAGGGAGAGATTAGTCAATAATTTTCCAAAGTGTCTTCCTCACCTCACAATTGTCTCCCTATCAATTAAAAATCAGCAATTAGTCAGAAAAGAAAAGAAGAGTTGAGCTTCTCTAATAAATGATTACTGATCGATTGTTGGTGAACTCTATTTAATTGATAATTTAATGCACCAGGTGAGGCGGAGGACTCAACCAGATTTTGGCAACAGAGACCGGCCACTAGGCACGTTGTATCTTTTTTTTTTTTTTTTTAAACACACCTGAGCGCTGATCACTGGACATCACTCCTGCAGGTGTTTATGCCAGTCCAATAGATTCAATTTCAAATGAGTCCATTTAAATTCAGATTTTAAAAGCAATTGTTCAAAACAATCGATTCAGGTTCAAAGTAAATGATTCCCATTCAAATATAAAATAATTCAAATTCACTTACTAGTGGCACAAAAATTATCACATAAGCAAGTTAATTATATTGTTAAAATGTGTTTCGGGGCATACCAGAATGCTTTTTGTGCGTCTCAGCCGTGGAACAAGTTCATCATCCGATTCATTGTTGGAATGGTTGCTTGAAGAAGCCTCATCACAAGTTTCTTTCACAACAGTTTCATCTGAATTGTACAAATGATCTGAAACATCTGGGCCAATATCATTCTGCCCTATAATAACATCCAGGTGTGGGGTGGGAGGTTCGTTTTCCATACCATCCTCATCAGTTTCATCACTATCTGGATAATCAACCAGTGAAAATCCTTGGACAGTAAATACCTAAAAAATAAACAAAAATGTATTAAGTATGGAATTAGAAAGGTTGGCCAAAGAAACATGGCATGGTCTGACTAAAAATCTAAATCCAGAAATGTGAACACCAGCCCTTTTAGACAGTGTAGAATTATAAATGTTAAAATCAGAGTACAGTTATACTGAAGTATTACAATACTATCATATAGTTGCCTGAGGAAGACCATTTGGATCCCCACGTTGGTAACACTTTATTTGAAATGGTGTGCATAAGACTGACATAACACTGTCATAAACTTGACATAACACCTGTCATGAACATGAAGCAGTCTTTATGAATGTTTATGACTTTTGTCATTAAGTGTCATTCGAGTAAATTATGACACTTTTAATGCAAAGTGTGTGACGTTACCTGGCCTTTAACAGCCAATATAAAGCCACATAAGCATTGGTCCACTTTAGTAATAGAACGCCACATACATGTCAGCATAGATGAAGTGTTTGAAAGTACTTTTACCTCTGAGCAGGTCTGATCTGGGTTTGGTCCATCATTTAGCATCTGAGGAACAGGGCTGGTCTCATTCTCTTCTGCTGCAGCAGGAGTCTGAAGGCCTTTCACCTGAAATAGACAGACAAGAAGAGACTCAGAACTGTATGAAGAGACATTCACAGGCTAATACAGTCATCTAATGGTGAAACAGCACTGAACTTTGTGGACTAAAAAGCAGCTCACGTCTATTCAAGGAGTTTAGAGTGGATCAAATGAAAATATTTCTTTAAAACATCTAACAGCTCAGATACAGTATGCAATTATGAATGTTAAAATCATAGTTGAGGTCTTGTCAGGTGTTGCTATAGTGCATTAAAAGCACTTACAGTAAGAACTGGACGGAAGGGCCCCACAAGGGTCTGACTAAAGACATGTGAGTGTGTAAAGGAGAGACTAGAGAAACAAGTGTATTTGGAAGATGGAAGGAAGGACCCCATAAGGACATGACTGGAAACATGACGGTGTGTGTGACGTTACCTGGCCTTTAACAGCCAATATAAAGCCACATAAGCATTGGTCCACTTTAGTAATAGAACACAACCACATACATGTCAGCATAGATGAAGTGTTTGAAAGTACTTTTACCTCTGAGCAGGTCTGATCTGGGTTTGGTCCATCATTTAGCATCTGAGGAACAGGGCTGGTCTCATTCTCTACTGCTGCAGCAGGAGTCTGAAGGCCTTTCACCTGAAATAGACAGACAGAGACTCAGAACTGTATGAAGAGACATTCACAGGCTAATACAGTCATCTAATGGTGAAACAGCACTGAACTTTGTGGACTAAAAAGCAGCTCACGTCTATTCCAGGAGTTTAGAGTGGATCAAATGAAAATATTTCCTTAAAACATCTAACAGCTCAGATACAGTATGCAATTATAAATGTTAAAATCATAGTTGAGGTCTTGTCAGGTGTTGCTATAGTGCATTAAAAGCACTTACAGTAAGAACTGGACGGAAGGGCCCCACAAGGGTCTGACTACAGACATGTGAGTGTGTAAAGGAGAGACTAGAGAAACAAGTGTATTTGGAAGATGGAAGGAAGGACCCCATAAGGACATGACTGGAAACATGACGGTGTGTGTGACGTTACCTGGCCTTTAACAGCCAATATAAAGCAACATAAGCATTGGTCCACTTTAGTAATAGAACGCCACATACATGTCAGCATAGATGAAGTGTTTGAAAGTACTTTTACCTCTGAGCAGGTCTGATCTGGGTTTGGGCCATCATTTAGCATCTGAGGAACAGGGCTGGTCTCATTCTCTACTGCGGCAGCAGGAGTCTGAAGGCCTTTCACCTGAAATAGACAGACAAGAAGAGACTCAGAACTGTATGAAGAGACATTCACAGGCTAATACAGTCATCTAATGGTGAAACAGCACTGAACTTTGTGGACTAAAAAGCAGCTCACGTCTATTCAAGGAGTTTGCAGGGGATGAAATGAAAATATTTCTTTAAAACATCTAACAGCTCAGATACAGTATGCAATTATGAATGTTAAAATCATAGTTGAGGTCTTGTCAGGTGTTGCTATAGTGCATTAGAAGCACTTACAGTAAGAACTGGACGGAAGGGCCCCACAAGGGTCTGACTACAGACATGTGAGTGTGTAAAGGAGAGACTTGAGAAACAAGTGTATTTGGAAGATGGAAGGAAGGACCCCATAAGGACATGACTGGAAACATGACGGTGTGTGTGACATTACCTGGCCTTTAACAGCCAATATAAAGCCACATAAGCATTGGTCCACTTTAGTAATAGAACGCCACATACATGTCAGCATAGATGAAGTGTTTGAAAGTACTTTTACCTCTGAGCAGGTCTGATCTGGGTTTGGTCCATCATTTAGCATCTGAGGAACAGGGCTGGTCTCATTCTCTTCAGCTGCATCAGGAGTCTGAAGGCCTTTCACCTGAAATAGACAGACAAGAAGAGACTCAGAACTGTATGAAGAGACATTCACAGGCTAATACAGTCATCTAATGGTGAAACAGCACTGAACTTTGTGGACTAAAAAGCAGCTCACGTCTATTCAAGGAGTTTGCAGGGGATGAAATGAAAATATTTCTTTAAAACATCTAACAGCTCAGATACAGTATGCAATTATGAATGTTAAAATCATAGTTGAGGTCTTGTCAGGTGTTGCTATAGTGCATTAAAAACACTTACAGTAAGAACTGGACGGAAGGGCCCCACAAGGGTCTGACTACAGACATGTGAGTGTGTAAAGGAGAGACTAGAGAAACAAGTGTATTAAGATGGAAGGAAGGACCCCATAAGGACATGACTGGAAACATGACGGTGTGTGTGACATTACCTGGCCTTTAACAGCCAATATAAAGCCACATAAGCATTGGTCCACTTTAGTAATAGAACGCCACATACATGTCAGCATAGATGAAGTGTTTGAAAGTACTTTTACCTCTGAGCAGGTCTGATCTGGGTTTGGTCCATCATTTAGCATCTGAAGAACAGGGCTGGTCTCATTCTCTACTGCGGCAGCAGGAGCTTGGGTTTTTTTCAACTGGATTGCAGATAAAGAAGAACTCATTTTAAAAACACATCAAAGACAAATATTAAATGCATTTCCATAGACAGTCAAGAGTAATATTGGACACATGGTTAATATTGGAGAAATACAAAATTTGCTTTTGCAAAAAAAAAAAGAAAACTCTAAACTTAATCTAACCAACTCACCTTACTGCGCCAAGGCCATTTTGAATCACCATAGTTGTAATCAATTTCATCTCCTATTTCTATTTTCTTCAGAGAAAATAGGCACAAATGTGGTTTGTTGTCAACTATGATTTTTTTCATAACGCAATTCGGATTTTGGTGGTTGTCGTTGACCAAACGTCCTAGAGAAAAATCGTCTTGCGATGCATCCAGGCTGAAAAGTATCAGAAAAATGGTAACAGTTTTACATCTTTTTAAAAGTTTTATTGAAAGAGTTATTTTTAAAAGAATTTAAGAGTATTTGTGCTTAATTCATTCATCAAGTATTAAACCCTTGTTTCAGAGTTAACTCGTAATTTCTATAAATCAATAAAAAAACATCCATCTTTCAATGTTTACCATAAGTGATGATTCTGCCACTGAAAGTCAAAGAGAAATGTGCTTTCAATCTCTGAGTATTTTCTTGACTTGCTTTCCTCCTGTGTGAGGAGTTTACCCCTGTACTCCAACACGAAGTCCCCGGGTTCAATGGGTTGTGTGGCAAACACTCCTCTTCCTACAATAATATATAATAATTAAACATTTCATTCTGGGACTCAAAAAGAGATACTACAGTATTTTCAAAGTGAGGATGAGGTTCTTGCGTCTAGTCAGTGTATTACCTGCAGACAATGATCACAGATTAAGAACGGACCAAACTGTCAGGGACCAGTCGATTAAATTCATTTTTAATGACGCAGTTCCTACAACCTTTCCCACTGGCTTAACATTAGGTGTCTGTGCTAATCATTTTATCATTTGGGATCAATCAAGATGAAAATTTGCCTTAAACTCTAAACTGCAGCTAGTCTACCACAGCAATAGGCATCATCCTGACACTTCAGTAGAATATTCTGACAAAGCACTCTGACAATCTTGCCTGGGCTGTAAATTATCACACTCACTTCGATCACTGTCTGTCTTTGACAAAGGCAAAAACTGTACCTGGTCATTACATCAACAACAATACTTTTTTTGCTTCTGAAATGCACAAGTTGTGTCAATGAATCTTCTGCAACTTACCTTTGTAATGGTCAATGAATCTCGGCATAAACCCATCCTTGTCAGTGCAAGACAGAATGTATGTCTTTGCATCGTCTATAGGCTTTTTCCTCCTCCTCCTTATGGACATAATGGCTCTGTGAAAATAATTGTAATTCGTAGTTAGTTAAGGCAAATCTCACAAAAAGGTATTCTATTGTGAAAAATAAATAAATAAACAGACATTCATACAAACATTGCAACAGCTGTGTAGCTTTGCTATTGCAGGATGCATATTGTTTAACATCAAACACGGGCTAATGAAATATGCAAATTCTGAAATATGCACAATGAAAGCTGACCGAGCCTGTTGAAACTGAGAAGTTAACTTGTTAGATGATAACCATGTTATGCTGCACAGACACTCAGTAATCAATTTAAACTAGGGCTGTCAAACTTAACTTCTGGTACAGCAGCATGGCGGCGTTGCCACATGACCATTGACTGACAGCATCACATCCTTCCTCATACATACGCGCATGGATGGTTATGGGGGGGACGGGGTCCAGGGTAGGCCGGTACCACCCAGACAAAAAGCTTGGTGAAATATATATATATATATATATATATATATATATATATATATATATATACACACTGTCTACCAGTCAAAAGTTTTAGATCAGTAAGATTTTTTATGTTTTTAAATGAAGTCTCTTCTGCTCACCAAGGCTGCTTTATTTGATGAAAATTAAAAAAACAAACGGTAATATTGTGAAATATTATGACAATTTAAAATGACTGTTTTCTATTTTTATATATTTTAAAATGTAATTTGAAAGCTGAATTTTCAACATCATTACTGTTGCTGATTACACATCAGTTTTCAGTGTCACATGATCCTTCAGAAATCATTCTAATATGCTGATTTTATGCTCAAAAAACAAATTATTATTTTCAACGTTGAAAACAGTCGTGTACCATTTCACCCCAAAATTCTATGATGAACAGAACGTTCAAAAGAACAGCATTTATTTAAAATATAATCTTTTCTAACATTATAAATGTCTTTACTGTAACATTTGATCAATTTAACTCATGCTTGATGAACACAAGTATTTTCTCATTTCTTTCCCCCAAAAATAAAAAAATAAATTCTTACTGACCCCAAACTTTTGAATGGTAGTGATTAATGTTACAAAAGCTTTCCATTTCAGATAAATTCTGTTTATTTACACTTTCTATTCATCAAAGAATCCTGAAATAAAAATGTTAAAAAAAAAAACTGTTGCTGATGATGCTGTAAATTCAGCTTTGATCACAGGAATAAATTACACTTGACTATATATTCACATAGAAAACTGCTGTTTTAAATTGTAATATTTCACATATTACTATTTTTTATCAAATAATAGCAGCCTTGGTGAGCAGAGGAGACTTCTTTTAAAAAACATAAAAAATCTTACCAATCTAAAACTTTTGCAAAGTAAATTTGGGAAAAAATTATATTATTTTCTCTCAACTGTCCTGCTCTAACGAACCACCTGCGGGTAGGATGTTATTCCAAAACGGCACCGTACATTAGCTTCAGTCCTGCGTTAGCTTCTGGCTAACCTCCATTAGCGAGTCCTGCCCTGTCTTGTTTACAATTCACAACCGATTCTACCTTTAACGACACGATTTCACTGCACCCCGTCTCTGTCCCGCTGTCATGTCCGTGGTGACGTTATTAGATTATGCCAACAGCTAATATTATGTCGCTAAAGTTAGCTACATGGCAGCTAAACGAGGTAGCAAACATCACGATGTAACGCCAAAAATACTCACCATAAAAACCTCACAATTCACAACCAACTCTACTTTTAACGACACTTCACTCCACCCCGTCTCTGCCCCGCTGTAATGTCCGTGGTGACATGTTATTAGGTTACGCTAACTGCTAATAGTAAAATTATGCCGCTAACATTAGCTAAATTGCAGCCACAAACATCACGATAAACTATAACGCCGAAATAAACTCACCATGAAAACCATGCCTAGCTTACCTGATGGATGCAGAGGTCGGTGTTTGTAAAAATGTTATGATTTCCAACCCGTCTTCTTCTGTCTTCAATCTTCTATCCTTGAAGTCGTCTTCTTCTTCTACGTTACTTGTGCAATTTCCGCAGTTTTCCTTACTTTCGCGGGAATCGCGGCTGATTGTACAGTGCTGTAATTTCATTGGCTAAAGGTTTCAGATTCCCGCGGTGTGTATTCGATTTCGCGGGAAGTGTAAACCTGACTTCCGGTGAAAAAAAAGCTCGACGATACACACCTACACACAATTACCCACTTTTTGCTACCTTATGGGCCACTTTTTAGAGATAGAAAAAAAAGCAATGGGAGCATCAGGGGAAGCTGCTGAGCTTATTTAAATTGAAATCGGAGTGGGGCCCACCATTTTGGGCCCCACTCCGATTTTGGGACTCCTTAGGTGGGTGTGCTCCCACCGATGGGGACCCACACCGACGTATTTGTAAGTACCACACACACACACACACACACACACACACACACAGAGAGAGAGAGAGAGCGAGAGTTCGATCACGCCCGCGCGCACTTAACCATTCAACTACCCACGCCTCTCTCTCTCACACACACACACACACACACACACACAGTGTACATGTACCGTTCCACCCCTAATACATATATATTTAAACCAACTTAAAGCAGAACTAAGTAACTTTTTTTACCTTAACTGAACAGCTTTGGAGTCATTGTAATGTTAATATTACTGATTTCGTGTTGAATGGTGATCGTCTCGCACCCCCCTGGTGCCTGTGAGCCGCAAAAACACCCTTGCAACTTTGGGCCGGCGGCTCGCCGGCCTCAGTGTTAGGAAGTATCGTGAGATTTCAGGTCTCGCGAGGTAATGAATTGCTTTACGGCACTATACGCGCACACGCATGCGTACACGCCCCCGGCCATCCAGGAGCCGGCTAGCTATAAGAAAAAGGTAACGCTAGATATTGAATTCTTCAAGTTTTCGTGATGGCTGATGTAAAAGAAGAAGAAGACAGCTCGGAAGTGTTTATCAGAGAAACAAAGAAGAGAAAACGGACCGGCTTTTTTCAGAATAGAGAGAACTGAAAGAAAGCGAAGCCTGCAAAACCGATGCTGACCTGGCCTTCTTGCTGTTGCACTTGTAAGTATCTTTATAATAAACTGTGTTTAATGTTTGTATTTCTTGTAATTGTGACCTCGGGAGTCGGGATGTTTGCTATTGTCTGTTTTTTTTTTTTTTATATTATGCTCGCTGTCTGTTACCGGCTTACTAGTACGTTAGATACTGTAACTTAGATGTTAGCATTTTCATTAGCAAACAAACTTGCTTGTTTTCTGTAAGTAAGTGTTTTGTCCGTTCCTCTATCAGGGTTTATTTGTGTTTCTCAGATCGCCTATAAATCGATATGAAATTCTACAAATTATGCATTAGTTTAGCTTGTCGTCAGCCTCAGAATTAGTAACGTTATACTGTGCTGCTGACTTGATAATGCATTACCGACACGAGAGCTGCTAGCTAATAATGCAACTTTTTTATATTTATTTACCCACATTTACACAAACAGAACTATAAGTAAACGATAAATTGCATTGCAACTTCACACATGCAACTCCATCTGTGCTATTTTGACCTTGTCTATAAATGATATGTTGATAAAAGATTGATACATTTTCTTTTTCCTTTTTAGCTACAAGCGTTGGCAAGTGTTATCAACTCCGAGGCACCCCAGACCACCAGTACCACTGGTCTCAAGCTTCAATAATAAAATAAACAAACTTGTAATAAACAAATTAAACGTGTTTGACTTTCTTTGGTCAATCGTTACGATAGACAACTCGGATTACCAGAAAAATGATGAATGTAACGTAACATGTATTTTGATAATGCATAATCAAAGTAGCTATAGCTGTAGGCTAAACTAAAAATAAATAAATAGCGGAAATATTTCTTATAGTATTATTGAT